TTATGATGTGAATATTATATTTATTATGTAATGGAATCTTGTCTTTTAGATTCAAAGAATATTAAAAAAGAGAAAGATGGAAAGAATCTGCAGGCAAACAACCCATCTTTAAAAAGTGGTAGGTATTGCAGCTGTCAGGTTCTTAGTTAAGGTATTCTAAAAGAAAATATATGTGTTTGTATTGTACTATTTTCTGACTTTTTCTTGTTGGAATTGCTTGGGTTATTATGGTGGATAGTTAAAAACATACCTTTGCTTTTGTCTAGCTGTTAGGAGAGTATGTTTTGGTATAGAAAGTGATGATTGAAACTGCTTGAGTTGAACCTGCTAGTTTTAATAGCCAAGATAAGTACTCTTTGTATGTACAATCAAAGATGCTGTGTAAACTTTATTATTTTTAAACTGTTACTGATTTGTCTGTTCTTCTCATCATGTATTTCTCGGTCTCATGCCTTTTCTGCTGCAGTTACCTCTATTTCCTTAATGTGTTTCCAGGTGCCAAAAGAAGGATTTTCAGTTCAATAGTCTTGAATTTTTAGGATTGCTAACTGGATTAAATTGCCTGGGATTCTAATTTTACTTTAAATAATCTATGTGCAAGCAGAATTTGTGGGTTTTTTTTAAACTGAGGAAAAACTAGAAATTATCCAGATTCTTGGCTAACTTAGCCTCTACTAAGCACAGCAGGTGCCATAAGGCAGTGTATACATGAGATTGCTGTCAGGGTAGGTTCTATGGTGCTGCAGTGGGACAGCAGCAACATCCTTAGATATGCTTTGCATGTTCACGTTGTTTGTCTGAATTGGACAGTAAGAAATGTCATGGGTAGTATTGACTAGAGTACAAAATCTCTTCAGGAGTTCTTGAAAAAATGAATCATTTAAACTCACTCTGCTCACTTTCCTGTGCCCTCTGACTCCTGATAGGTGGTCTGGTTCCTCTTGGGTACCATTGGAGACAAGTAGCATAGTCACTGATGAATCATGACAGGATACTGACACATTAGCTGGGTAACTGAGGTAATGACTTTGCAAAAAGAATACCAGTCATAGTACAGCCATCAGCTGTTACATTTTCCAGAGCTAATTTTTTCATTTATTTGGGTTCTGGCCATCACAGAATGGGTAAGGTTGGAAGCAACCAGTGGAGGTCATTGTAGTCCAACCTGCTGCTCAAGCAGGACTCCTCTAGAGCACGTTTCTCAGGACTGTGTCCAGAAAACTTACGAGTATCTCCAAAGGAGGAGAATCCACAACCTGTGCAGTCATCTTTATTTGTCCCTGTTACTTTGAGCCGGAGAAAGAAGCATATTTGTCTCTTTTTCCCTCTTCTGCAGTGTATAAGGAGCTCCAGTCAAACTAGACTCAGCGTGTCTGTTTTAAATAATGTTGTTTGACATGACAGAGTGCTGTAAGACATTCCCCCACCAGCAAAGTGCTCTTCATATGCGGATAAGATAATCATATTTTATGAGTCACTGGAAAATGTCCCTGCCTCCTCCTGCAGTCGAGAGCAAGGTGTTGAAAAAGCTTTGTGGGGAAGCAGTGCTAAGCAGGCAAGCCTTATTCTGTGTTTGTGTTCTTGACTTGATCTGTGCTGTTAACCTAGTGTCTGGGAACTGAACTTCCTCATGAAATCTAGGCTCAGCTTTGTCAAACAGAGAGGAGTTTCTTGCAAGATCTCTACTTTTCTACAGATGAAATAATTTTTATTCCGTGTTGTTGCTTGTTGGTGGCAAAGGAGCAGAAAGAGCCTCTCGATGCTAGATGAAGATGCCATACAATGCTTTGGACTAACAACAGAGAAGTCTCCAGAGTTTCCAGGGGAATGTATGATAGGAAAAGTCAAGGAGGAGATAAAGGGGTGTGAGAAGAATAGTTTAAAAAAATAGACTAAAGTGAGTAGAGAAAGACATGAGGAGGAGAAAAATTCTAATTGAAGGATCACAGCATATAGAAAGAAGTACAAGGTGTAAAGCGGAGCATGAAATACGTTACACTTAAACTGCTGTATTTGCAAGAGTGTGTGAAGAAAAATTATAAGGAAATCTCATTTTTGAAGAAGAAAGATTGTGTGATGAAGACTAGAAAAGAGGCATCTTCGTGTCCAAAGTTTCAGATGGGTGCCAAGGGAATCTAGGGGTGGTCTGAGAAGACATGATGTGTTCTATCTGCCCAAACAGCATTTAGGCTATGGTGATACTATATTATATTAGCCTGAATAAACCAGGACCTTAAATTGTACCAGTCTGCAAGTGACAATTCATAATTTAAATCTTCAGTTAAAATTTTGTAAAACTTTTGACTTACACTAAATCGGAGAATTACATATGATGAAAAAAGATGGGAAGTACTTCAGCAAACTGTGCGTTCACTTATTCATGGCAGCAGATGTGACACCTCCAGGGTGCTGATGTCACACAGAGGCTTCTCGCTTCTTTTGGAGAACTTGTAGTGATTGAGGAAGTTTCTCCATGGCTGAAAAAGGTCAAATAGTATGCACTGTCAAGAAGGACAAGACAGGAGGAGCACCTGGGGAATTACAGGCTGGCCTACCCAATCTTAAGTCTTCAGGAAGACTATAAAGAAAATATTTCTGGAAACCATTTCTAAGCAAATAAAGGACAACAATGAGGTTAGGAACAGTGGAGGTAGATTTGCCAAGTGCGAACTGTGCATGACTGATTGCCTTTTGTGCTCAGTTACTCTGGAAACAAGGGAGAGCAATGGATGTTGTTCATGTCAACTTTACCAAAGCTTTCCTGTACATTTTCTGTAGCGTCCTTTCAGGCAAACTGTTGAGATGTGGTTTGGATAGGTGGATGAGAAATTAACTGGACTGTCAGGCCGTGCAAGGTCCATCTGTCAGATGGTAGCTAGTGGCATTTCTTAGAGGTTAGTATTAGGGCTGATGCTAAGATGGGGCTGATGTCAGATGGGGACAACTGGTCAGAACACACTGCCAGACCAGTTTGTGGGTAACATCTATTGGGGAGGAGCAGCCAGTAAGCTGGGAGGCAGGACTGCCCTTCAGATGGACTTGTCAGTGCTGGGGAAATGGAATGGCAGGACCATGCTGAGACTTGGTGGTGAGCGGAGAGTCCTCGGCCGCGGGCAGCCCGGAGCCCTGCGAGCAGCCCGGAGCCCTGCGAGCAGCCCGGAGCCCTGCGGGCAGCCCGGAGCCCTGCGAGCAGCCCGGAGCCCTGCGGGCAGCCCGGGCGGGAGGCTCTCTGCCTGGGCAGGAATTTAGCACCAGAGCCCTGGAGCCCGGCAGGCACGGCTGAGCGTGGGCCAGCAGCGAGCTCTTGTGGTGAAAGAGCTCAACTGCAAAGGGATGCTGCGGGCAGCGGGCCGGGAGGAGGCGTTTCCTGCTTTGGGGAGTTTGTATCTGCAGAGCTGTCTTCAGTTTTGAGGTGCACAGTACGGGCAAGGCACTGCTCTACTGGAGTAGGCTGGCTTGAAGTCCTGCAAAAAATTGAAGGAGCCGGAACGCAAAAACCCAGTACTGAAACCAGAAGAAATGTTTTTTTTTTCAGCTAAAAGAAAAGCCTATGGGAGATGGTCATGCTGTGTTCAACTACCTGTCAGATGTATGGAAAGGGGACAGAGCCAGGCTCCTCTCAGAGCCACTGTGAAACGAGAAGTGACAAATACTGGCTGGAGCATAAGAAATTCCTCCTTGATGAGGAAATCTTCACATTGAGTCTGATGGAACCCTGGAGGAGCAGGAGGCTGAACTAGAGACCTCCTGAGGTCCCTTCTAGCTTGAGTTACTTTGGGATTGGCAGGTTTGACAAGAAGTGATAGGGCATTGATACAGCATTGCAGAAAGCATCAAGGGTCATTGACCCATGGGTCAGTGCTGGTAGTGCAAGCAACTGTGACATGAACTCAGTACCTCCATTTTTAAATTAGTCAGGCTTTTTGCCATTGCTGCTTGTTTGAATCACTGTTTAAGAGCCTCACTTCTATGCAGGTTTTAAACGAATACTTTTTTTCATTTACAAAAGGTTCTAGTTACCTTATGGTTTGGGTTTTGTTTTGTTCCATTTCCAGTATATGCTGGTTTGTTCTTCAGCATAAAATTTCGCTCTAGTTTTCACTTTCCTGGTGGGTTATAGAGTGGTTGTTGCATAACAGTCTTTTCTTAAGGTATTTTATTCAGCCTGCAGATTTGAGTGTTAAGAGAAATGCACATTAAATTATTTAGTGTGAGCTAATTTTCTTGAGGATTTCTAGTTGTCAGAAGCTGCATGTTTTCAGGGTCTTTAGAATTAGAAATAAGTCTATTACAATTGCTTCTTTACATGTGCGCACTGAGAATACAGAGAAGCTTTCATGTAAATATTTTTTCAATGTGCTTATCTTTCTAGAGTTGCATCTTACATGTTGCAAACATACATGTGTCTTCTATTTCTATAACTGCAGTAATTAAATGATAATTAGCACCATCTCTGAGAGCTTGACTCTAATTTAATACAGTGTATCTTCACAGGTGGAGAGCTTCTCATTTTAACTCCAGGACATTACTGCTTGATGCAAGAGCTTTTGATAGACAGGATTTAAAGCAAAGACCTAGGCAATGTTCTTTTCCTCTTGGCTTTATCTGTGGCTGGCTCCTTACCTTCTGTGTCTTTCTAGTAAATGTCCCCTGGAAAAAAACAAAACTGTTTCATTCCTTCTGTATTTTTGGTCACCCCACAAAATTTACCATCCTGTTATTAAAATTCAGATAATTTGGGAAATGTTACTATATATTCTTTTGGAGGCGGTGAATGACGGTTTGTCCTGGTAAATGTGACGTCACTGAAGTATTTGTACAGTCCTTAACACAATGAGGCTATGCATGACTGCAGCTTTTACATCATGTTAGATCTGAGACAGCTGGGGACACAACTAATCTAATCTAATCTTTTGACTAGATTTAATTATGTAGAGTTAGGTACTTTACTAAGGTAAACTCTGATTAAAAAACTTTTTTATTTAAATCAGAAGACAACCTGAAGTGGCAGCTTTATTATTAGAGTCCAAGACAAATTTTTATGAGATAAAACCTTGCTATCAGTTCATAATATTACATTTTTGCCCTCCTTGGCTTGTTAATGAAAAGAGAAACAAATTTGGAGGCTACTTCCTGGGGAAAGCTCTGAAGAGCTGTTTCGGCCTTCCTGAAATATAAAATATATGCTTAAGTTAATGTATCCTGCCTTTTGTAAGTAATACAAAATCAGTGTTACTATATAAATGTGTAAAAAATTTTCATTCCCAAATAGGTGGAATTCCAAAATGTTGTATAAAAGTGTCTTTGTTACCAGCCTGCATATATTCCAGGCCACCAAATTAACATCTTTTGACATTTTACTGACTTGTTACTGACTTCTCCCATTGCTAACAAAGGACAAATGACTCGTACATTTTTGAGTCTGTTTCACCAAAACCCAGCAGGCCAAGAGGATGGTTCTCTTTTGCTTGAGGCACTTGATATTGTCAGCTGAATGCTGTCCTATTGCAGGAATACTCTGGGTTTGAGCCACCACACATCCTTCAGAGAAGCTGTGTGCAAGTGCTGGAAAATGCTGCCATTTTCTGATTGTTTCTTTGCTTCTTCTCTCTCCTGAGAACTGCAGATATGTGTTTAAGTGTCTGTGCCCAGTGATGTTTTTGGAACACACACCTGGAGCAAGCTCTCCATCATTCCCAAGGATTTTCCATTAGGCTTTGTGAGTGTCTGTTGTTGAGCCGCTGGGTGGCATCGCTGCATCATTTTGGGTTCATCAGTGCTTTATTTTTCAGGAACATCAGAAAGATGCTGGCTGCCCAAACAAAAAAAAATAAGCAAAAGAGCTCACTCAGATAATTTAGTAACATAAGTATTAGCTATAGACATTGTAGCTTTTCTCTTACACTTTATATTAAAATAATTAATATGCTTGCTTGTATCTTTGCTATTGGTTCTTCATATTTTTCCATTCATGCAAAACTGGTAACACTAAATCAAGTGCAGAATCTACTTGCCCATACGCATAAACAATGACACTATTAACACTGGAAAAAATACCATTATTTTGTTACTTAACATTGCCATAATGTTTACCAATCTATGCCATATTACATGATATTCTACAAAAATAAACCTTTATGTGATTTCAGATAAAAAGAGACAAAGATGCAGTTGGAAGGTTGTGCTAATCTTGCTTTCTAGTGGATAGTGTTCATAGCATATATTTCAACAGTATCCATGTGTCTCTGTTTTTCAGTGTATATCATCTCAGTACTCATATTGAGGTCATCATATCAACCTTCTTGTTAGGGAAACAAAGATATAGGAAAGCTAATGTGGTTTATATAAGGATGCTTGGGAGATGCTTATGCAGAATATTGAATCTAGATATTCTGACTTGGATTGTTTTACATGTAGAAAAAAAATTGAAGGGAGGTTTATATTAATTTTGCCTATTGTGTGTTTACCCCTGTAAACTAGCATTACTTGTGTAGCTCCTTCAAGGTCTGTATGTATTTCAAAGGTGGAATTTCCATTTGAGAATGATTCTGCTCTTGAGAAAATATATTCTACAAGATAGTTGGGTTTTCTGTCCCTTTCTTTCCTCAAATCTTCATTTAATTTAAATTCCTTTTTTTATGTTTGTTTATGTATTTTTTTTATCTTGTGTCTTCCAGAACAGTTTAATTGGGATGATTATCTGAAAGAGACTGAATCAGTAGCTGCCCCTCTGCATTGTTTCAGACAGGTATGCCAGATACTATTTTGCAAGTGTGTGTGTATTGTATGCCTGTTGCAGGGTGATGCTAGAAAAACTTTCTCATTTAGACTGCTTACAGACTTCCCATTTGACTTCTTTTCATCTGTAGTTATCAGTAGCTTACAGTTTTGGCAGTTACTAGCTACGGAAGTTTTTTCATTCCTGGTTTCTGCCTCGAGCCAAATTTTGAGGGTTTCATTATAATTGTGTCTTTGAACTCTGTTTTTCCTTTAAAAAAAAAACTACTTAATGAAAACAGATAGCTTTGTCAGTGTTCAAAAAGGTTTTCTACTTTTTTTCAATAGTCTTAACGCTACCATGGTTTTAGTAAGCATTTAAAATTTGGCTGATTGTCAGAGGAGTCTTTGCCCCATTTTTGAAACATTTCTTTCAATTCAGTCTAGCTATAAGATATGTGTGTAGTAGAGTTGAGTCACCACTTTTTTCCTGGATCTCTAATATGTTTAATTTTATCTCTTTCTTAACAGTGTTTTTTACTTAGGGGTAATAGATACTAAAATTTAAAAAAATTAAAATCAAGTGGAATATATGGGAATACAAAGGAAGTACTGGATTTATGATGTTTAATGTGTTTAAGGTACTGTTTTGTGTTACCCTATAGCCTACAAATTTGATTCCCCCCTACTTGATGACTTAGTATGTATTTGCAGATGCAGTTTAAATCTACCATCTTGTGTAACCTAATGACCTCCAGTTGTTCAGCCCTCTGGAGACTGAGTCGATCTCTTTAGGCATCTTTCTCTCTGTTTTCCCATGCTGAGGTGTATCTTGTCTGTGTAAAATTAAATAAAATTCATTTTGGTCTGTGTGCCCTCACTGTGTTAGTAAGATAGTTGCTAAGGAATTGGATTGTTCAGGTTCATAGAAGTGTAATAGGTGTGACAAGCAGTGCATGTCTAGTTTAGTGGCTTGGGCATGTTCTGAAATTGTTTTCTAGGGTCTGTTGGGGGTCTGATTGTACTGTAAATGATACTGGCCTCCAGTGGGGGCCCAAATAAAAAGCAGCATGAATTGAATAGTCTGAGAAGGAGAGGAACCATCACTCGGTGAGTCTGAAGCAGTTGCAGGAATGGAGAATTAGGAGAGAGAAACACAGGTGGTAGCATTTCTTCATGCTAGATCTTGAATCTCAGCTTGCTCTTTGTAGATGTGGGGCAAAGAGCCCCTTGCATGCTGCTTTCAGTGGGAGGTGGCTAAAAACACTAGTGTCCATGGCTCTGAGTGGAGCTGCATAAATTAATTTCACAGAATGTGTTTTTCACAAGGCAGACACCTCAAACTCCTTCTGGGTAGAGGCAGAGGGTTGTAAGTTGTCCCTGGATCTTTCTGAGGTTAATGCCATACTCACAGACCATAAACCACCATGACCAGAGTATATGCACCCAAGGAATGTAACTACTACAGAAAGCTGCTCAAAAGCCTTTCCATGTGTCTTTCTTGCATTTTCCTCTCACCTAGTAATGCCCAAAAAGTCTGAACTGAGCAACCAAATAATGCCCTGAATAGAAGTGCTGAGGTGACGTGCATTAACAGAGATAAATCCATGTGACCCGGATTGCTTAAGGAGTGTGTGAATTGGAAAGAAGAGCTTTAATTTATGTGCACAGCAAATTTCAAAACAATTTGCATATGCAGATTTTAATTTTTTAAGCGTTAACCTTTAAGTAGAAAGTGATACGCAATGGTGATAAGTGCAGAGCTAGATCCTCTCACTACATAATGTTTGCAGTTTTTTGAACCTAAAGTGCTTGTGCTTTGTTTAGTATTAATTTGACTTTTATTGGGTTACACATGAATTGTACATGTCATTATTACTTCGTGTAATGTGAATAAATACATTGCTGTGACCAGCCAGAAAATAAAGAGCAGCAAGAAAATAAATTTGAAGTTACTTCCAGAATTTGTGACCCGTGGGAATTTAAAAAGTTTAAATTTTGTAGTAATTTAAAAATACCTGGGAACAAGAAATTAAAGCCTCTACCATAAATTAAGACACAGACAGATAATGGAAATTGATTAAAGTATTTATCTTAATTTAGAAGGTGTTTTATCTGTTGCTTTAAGTTGTTTTTAATAACTACTTAAAATTTCAATGCACTTCATATTCCTTTTTCTTGCCCTAAAACTTTTTCCCAGGCAGTTGAAAATTTTAAATGTAAAAGCTCAGTCCCTTGTGGTTAGAGCAGAACTTAAAGCAAAGCTGTTACTGAGCAAGGTTTTGTTATTTTATTTAAAGAAAAACTAGTTTGAGGACTTACCTTTTTGGAAGAATGCCTTGAGTTCACCTTCTCCACAAACAAAGAAACAAACTCCCTGATTTCTCAATTTCTGTTGCTTTTCCATGTTGTACAAAATAACAGCTTGACAAGCAATATCTTGAAATTGAATTGCCCTTTCAATTTAATATGCTTGGGCTCCCCTTTCAGCCAGCCTGCTGTCTGAGTTCAGCACTGCTAGATGCTCACTGAATTTTGCTCACCTCTTTGGCTTTTGGGCTGAGGCTCCTCCAGGGTTCCTGTGTTGATTCAGGGTGTGTTGTAAATAGTGCAGCTGCACAATATAGCAAATAGAGAAAGATGTATTTTAGACATTTAAATGTGGTGGAGAAAAAATATCACTAACACTTGTTGCAGGAGCAGATTTCTCCTGTCTTTTCCTATGTTTGCAGACAGGTAAGTGCACTTTGTCTGCCTGCTGTGGGATCCCCACCTGACCTGGTCAGGTTAGGCACAAGGGGACATCTGAGTCCTGTGAGTTCCTGTAGTTTTGGGTATTCTAAGGTGCCTCCTGTATTAGAAGTTTAGACTGTGTTAGTCTGCATGGGGTAGCTGCTGGATTTAAATGTCATGGGGAATGCTGCTTACAGTTCTGGGTGCCTGTATTCAAAACCAACTTTGTACTGAAGAGTTGCAGAGAAGAGTTTCCAGGGTGATAGGAGAACAGTCATCATCTCCTAAGAGAAATTTCAGTGCTTGACTTATTTTCATTCTTGAAAAGGTACTGAGAAAAAGTCAGTTGTAGCTTTCGGTTTTATTTGCTAAAGTGCAAAACTAGATTAAATTATAGTGTTGGCCAAAAATTCCGTCAATAAAATTTAGGCTGGAAATGAGGAGACTAATAAAGAGAAAAGTGAGAGTCATTCCATCCCAGCTAGTGTTACTACAAAGTTTTAAAAATCGTTACATGTCATTTGCCTGCAATATGACAGAAGGCAAGTAATCAGAGTGCAATTCAGTCAATCTCTGTCTGTAGTGTGTTTATACATGATTAAAAAATACCCTCTTTTGTTCATCTTTTGCATGTGACAAAAAGTTCTGCCTAACGACCAAATTGCAATTGTCACGTTTCTTTTCCCTGTGCTAATTAAATTAATTGTATGTATGTGATTATATTCAGTTCTCTATGAATAAGCATAATCTACAGTATTTGTATTAGCACAGAAGTTTTATAGGACTTTAGGACTGTTTTCTGTCTTAAAAATGCTAACAGTAACTCCTTTTTCTGTCTTCTTTCTCTGTAATGTAAGCTTTTTTTTTTTGATACAGAAGGGTACAGATTTTGTTTAGATTTCCACAATATTATTATAATGAGGATAATTATTTCTTTTGAATTGGAAGCTAATAAACCTTGTGGTTGGGATTTTTTTTTTTTTTTGGATGTGTGTGTTGGTTTGTGTTTTGGCTTTTTGGGTTTTTTTGAGTGGAATGTCATGTTTCCTAATGTTCTATTCCATTCACTTCACTCTTGTGTTCACATCTTCATAACGATTCCCTTGTTACCCTACCTAGCATCCTTACCTCTTTAGAAATCAATCATGCTTATGCAGTTGGTAGGTTATCCAGTTGCCTTTTCTGACTTGGCTGCTAGACACTCAAAAGTTTAAAAGCTTCTTCATATTTGTCATTTTTATGCTAAGTTTGGAGGAAAGAAAGCTGTCTATTGAACTGGCTGGTAAATTTAGCAGTATTAACACAATAAGAAAAAGCCTTTTACCTTTTATTGTAGTCTAGAATTCCGCCTAAGAACGATTTCAAAGTTGGTATGAAACTGGAAGCCCACGATCCTCGCAATGTTACCTCAGTTTGTATCGCTACTGTCATCGGAATCACTGGTGCCAGGCTAAGGTTGCGGCTCGATGGAAGTGACAACAAAAATGATTTCTGGAGGCTTGTGGATTCCTCAGACATACAGCCCATTGGGACCTGTGAAAAGAAAGGGGGCATGCTCCAGCCTCCACTTGGTAAGTAACAAAGCTGTTGACCAAATGTGTGTGGAGTATTGTTTTCAGAAAGTCAAATTTAGCTTTTTGTCTTGGCAAATGCAGTGGTATGAACATCTCATCAAACCATTATTTAATTGAAAAAGAGGTAAGTAAACTAATTCTGACTAAGTGAATTGTGGCTTTTTCTTATCTTTTCATTCTTCTGACAAAACAATGAGCAGGTTTTTTGTTGTTGGTGTTTCTTAATAGGCCCTTAATATTAAATGTGCCCATTCTGTAAGTGTTCCCTCATACACAGCCTGCCTTGTGTGTGTGTATAGAGTGTTTTGTTGCATGATGCCATGCATGCTCCTGTTGGGAGCCCTTGGAAAGAACTGGAGAAAGCCAAATTGCCCCTTTACTCTTCATCAGTGCATCCAAGCAGCTCACAAGAGGGAACTGGCTGCTGCAGGCTTAGGAAGCTTTGGCAGGGCTGCTGAAAGGGCAGTCAGGATGTTTCCTTGGGCACCAAGCAAATTGTGTTCTAGGACAGGCAGCATAAGGTGGGTTAGTGCAGAATTGTAGCATTCTGCTCTGAATTTTTACTCTGAGGTAGTAAAAGCAACACTCCAGAGCTCTAGCAAACTGCAGGCTTAGACTGCATGATATTCTCATTCCCTCAAACCAACATATGTTCAGGAATGTCAGTTTGTCATGGCTAGTTTGTGAGCACAACAAATGCTTGTGAACAAGGTATAGCTTTCTTATGCTTCGAAACGAAATATCATGCAGAAATTCCTTTGTCTTCCATGAGCAGTATGAGTGACAACATTGTGTCTCCTCAAACTGAGAAATAGTTCTTGAGTTTAGACTTACTGAGGAAGTTGATTAAATAGGGAATTCTACAAAGCAATTCCTTGTTACCTGGTCAATGGTCAAAGGTAACTTTGACTATCAAAGTGCTAGAGGTAGTAAAATGTGACATTGCCTTTCTTTGCTGTGATTAACTTGTATATTTAGATCTGCATTCTTATACCATATTTGTCAATAGCTTAAACTTCTATGTATGGAAATATTTAAAGATTTCACAATGATCTGCAAATAGTTTTGCTTTTAAAAAAGAGGAAGAATAATGACCAAAATTTACCCAAACACACTCTGCCCTTTTATCTTATGATCTGTAATTTTTAGAAGATGCAAAAAATATTAAAGTAATAAACTGTAGAATAATTTTAAAATTACCTGTATACAGAAATTGGTTTCTGCTGCTTTTCCATCTTATGCTTATGAACCTACTTCTGGTTTGGTGCCAACAGTAATTTTTAGGGAATTCTTATTGGAGGTTTAGTGAGGATAGGTATACTTTCTCTCAGTAGCCTCTCAAACTGCTTGTCATCCTGCTTTGGAAGCAACTTCCAGTTTTTCTGTTTAAAAGATGAACTGAAAAGTATAATTTCACTATAGTATGAATCTTGGTTTGCTTGTAAAAAGACTGACACAGGAAAGGTTGACTTAACCATTAAGCCACTTCACATAGATTATAAGGGTGGATTTTTATGCTATTGTGGTTCTTCAGAAGCACAAGAAAATTAATGCAATCAGGGTGCCAGTCTAGAAAAATACTGCTTATGATAGATACAGTTTGACCCAGAAGGGCTTTTTTCCCCTTCTTTCAATGGATACATAGAGATTTGGATTGAAAACACTGGAAATTCCTGACATCAGGGAAAAAGTTGGGTTTTTTTTCTTTTTTTACAAGAAGTTTCTCAGTTTAACCTCTCTGAAGTCTTGATATAACCTTCTAGAATCAATAAAGTGAAAAAATGGAAGAGCGTGGCAGTTCCTTCAGCTACACACATGAACACAGCAGTTTTTAAAATATGTTTTTAAGCCAGAAAGATGAGTAAAACAATGCTGGTTGTGTATGATGGGGTCAATTAGTCAAGAGGAGAAACCTTCCATGACCATCAGTAGAAAGGTTGACGCCTTCTCCTCAGATACTGTTTCTTACTCTTTAAGTGGTCAGGCTGCCTGCAGTGCAGAGCCTAACAAGCAGCTGTTTCCCTGCACTCGGGCATTCAGGTAAGTTTACCTGCCCTCTGAACAATTGCTGATTATTCACAAAAGAATGTGAGTGCCAGTATTTTGGCCCTCCTGCCCTAGATTTTTCTAGAGATATGCTGAGTTCCAACAATCAAACATTCTGGCATACCTAGATAAACTTTTGAAAAAGCCTTTTTGGCAGTTTTACAGCATCCTGTTCCTGGGTAAAGCTGGGAGCTAATTGGGTGTATAATTACCTCCTGTTAGACATTTAACCAACGGCTTTTTTTTTCCTTAGTAGTAGAGAACCTTCTGGATACTAATGTTCCACTTCTATCACAATAACTAACTAAAATAGTCCCTCCTACCTGATTTTTACATGGCTTTAATTATGCAAGTTACATAAGGGTTTTGAGAAAGTGATTATTGCAGCAAAGTGTTCCTCTTCCAGCCTCTTTTCCATAGCTTTTTGTTGTTGAGAGCTTAATGTTCTGAGCAAATTACATCGCAGATAGCATTTTCTCTAATTTTACCAGGACAACTTAAAGACCAAATGAAGTTAATTGAAACTGTTGTCTAGTTGTTACTCCTGTGTCTTGCTTGTATATCTTTTCTGAGCTACCTGGTTGAGAATATTGTGTTTCAGTAACCACACGTGTTCAGGTTTTATAAAGACTGGTATGAAACCAGACCTGACAATCAGCTCAGTGGTCCCTGAATTATGACACCATTTATCATAGAGGAGGTCTGCATTAATTTAGGTGTTGCATGGGTAGTTCTGGCTTAAAAACTGTTTATTCTACTGCAGATAGCTTAAAGCTCAAGAACCATTATAGCATATAATCTAATTTTAAATGTGTGTTATTTAACTGATCAGGAATTGCAGATATGTTCCACCTTTCTAGTTACAGATTTTTAAGACAATTGTTAAAGATCAGTTATGAGGGAACTCATGAGCTCTTGGCAGATTATGGTACTATTTGCTTTGTGGAAAAAATTCCTATTTTCTGTATTATGTCTGTTTCTCGGCATAACTGTTCCAGACACCTAACTGCTAAAGAAGCAGAAAAAAAATGTCCAGTATGTCTGTTATCTTACTCATTACTTTAAAACATTCATTTGGAAAGCAAAGAAAGCAAAAGGATTTTTTGTTTGTTTTATCTTTTAACTGGAAAGTGGTTGATTGTGAAGGAAGATTATATGGAATAAGAAGGTTTTCAGCCAAACCTTTGTTCTGTTTGAATAAGGTAGTTCATCCAGACAAATTTGATTGTTGTTTAGGATTTTTATTCACTTATTAATGAAGAATGATAAAATATAAAGGCCATCTGGTTTATGTTTTTCAATATGATACATGATTTATTGCAATTACTTTTTTTGTTCACCCTTAGGCATACTTTGTTTCTATGGCTATTTATGTATTTATTTTAATGAGAGAAGGAAGAAAAACCAATTGAATGGGTTTTTTTCTGTGGTTTGGTAAAAGAATAACAAGATTCTCAAAAATAAAAAAGTATCTTCTCAATAAATGAGCTAGAACTTGAAGCGAAAGCTAGGTGCTTGTGCCAGGGAACGTCCACTGGACCAGAGACTCTGGAACAACCTAATGGTCTCCTGTACTAGGAATTGCATGTCATTAAATCCAAGAAATTAATCTGTAATGCCTGATGTTATGATGAGTGATTTTGCAGGCAAGTCACTCAGAATGGAAACGAATCACACAGCTTTCTGCAGCTACAGCGAGCATGTTGATTTCGTCTTAGCTGCTTCTATTTTGGCCAAGTCTGAAACAGAGGGAATGAGGCATCAGTGAAACAGACTTTATAACCTTTTTCTCCTATTGTATTTTAAAAACTGAAAGTAGGGCTGTTTGCTTAGTTTTTTGTTTGTCCTCAGGGTTCCAGATGAATGCATCCTCTTGGCCAATGTTTCTCTTAAGAACTCTCAATGGAGCTGAAATAGCACCTGCAGCATTCTTTAAGAAGGTAAGAAGAAAGGCTTTTCTAGTGAACAACTTCCTATCAATTGGTCCATGGTTACATTTTTTAATGAGGATGCTAAGATATTACCCTGTTTTCTGCAGCAAAGACCGGGAAGGCAAGACTATTATTTGAAATGACTTTGAACTGGATTGACATGCTATGGAACTAGACAGAAAGGAATCTGCTTTTAGTCCATAGAGAGGGCTGTTTCTTTTCCTGAGCTGAGACTTCAAAGTATGTTGTGTTATTTAGAAAAATTATGTTTGCTCATTTTTTGTCTCATGGATTTTAGATAAAATGCATATCACATTTCTTAACAGCACTATGGTCATGTGAATGTGCACAGGAGTAAAAAAATTAATAGGGAATGAGACCCATTGTAAGACAACAGTGCTTAGAAAAGTTTTGTTAAACATTTTCATTGGACACAGACTCATCACTTAAGATGTAGTGAGAAAGTAGTTGAAAATAGAAAAAGCCATTCAGTTTTTTAAATGTGACTCTTGAGGAAATTACTGTGAAATATGAATAAATATTTAAAAATAGCAGTAATATTAAAATGACTTGGTTAAATTTTTTGTTGAGGTGATAAAACGCTGTTGTCATACTGACTGTGTTTTTGGATACTGAGAATGATACTGAGAAGTATGTCAGCAAATCAAACAGTTGGGTTTAGGCCTGCAATCACATCACTTGGTGTTAACTTCATATAATTATAATTTTTTTTAGATAAGATAATATAAATTTTCTGAGGCGTGATGAGCCACGCTTCTCTGTGCTAGCCTGCAGCACATCTGAGATGGGTTTAGATAATAAGGTTCTTGAGGCTGACGTGGTAATTTATGTTCTGTCAGATCATAACTCCTGCTGTGGAGTCACACTTATACCAGTCACATTCACTTGAATTTTGTTTTTCTTTTGTCCACTTGGAATTGGTCTAAGGCCAATTGAGATAACAGAGGCCTATAAATAATGTCCAATGCTAATGAATTTTTCATGGATTAATTGAGAGGTAAAGCTTTTACCAGACAGTTATCAGTCCCCAGAAATACCCATGCTCTGCAAACCTCTTCTTTATTAGCATGTAATAATTTCATTTTAGTGTCTTGGCTGTCTTGCTGCCCAGACATAATGTATTGGTTGCAACCTATTGCTTATGTAAATACTTTTATCAGGGTCTTTCTGTCATGGAGAATTTTACTAATTATCCCAGCTGTGTTTGGGGAATAGAATGAAGATTTTTGAAGTTCAGAAGAGCAAATGCAAATTTAAAATATGACTGAGTTTCCTTGAATGTGTTTCTGTAATTTCCTGAGAGTAGTGACTGTAAGTAGGTAAGAATGTTGAGGAAAAATGAAGGGCTTTTACTTAGTTTTGTAATTTTTTTAAGAGGTCATAGAAATACAAATATTCTACTATACTTATTTTTGTAGGAACCACCAAAACCTGTGCCAAACTGCTTTAAAGTTGGAATGAAACTTGAAGCTATAGATAGAAAGAACCCATACCTGATTTGCCCAGCAACCATTGGAGATGTTAAAGGAGATGAAGTTTTTGTTACATTTGATGGTTGGAGAGGAGCATTTGACTATTGGTGCAGGTGTGATTCTCGAGATATTTTCCCAGTTGGATGGTGTAGCTTGACAGGCGATGCATTACAACCACCAGGGAACAATGGTAAGATGACTAATAATATTGCTTAATTGTTTTTCTCCTCAATTACAGCAGAATTTTAAAAACCAGCTGGCTATATGCAGATAAGACTGAAGATTTAATTTGTGAGTAGCAGGCGAGGATGAAATGTTGTTGAGTTTTCTTTATGTAGCTTAAAGCTAATAGAAATTGCTGGGAAACAATTTTTGCCTGCTCATAGTTATCTCTGGGAAGATGTTTTATTTAATACTGTTAGGAGGACTTCTGATGACCTCTAATTTTTGTGTGCTTGTGAAGAATCTTGTACTAGACTTTCTGTTTGTATTATTGATAGATACATGCTCCTGTTTAGTAATACTAATATATTGGCTGCTGCAGCACTTTATGTTATGCTAACTGCTAAGTAAAGTAGTCTTTGCTTTTCTGATTATTTCAGGTCTAAACTATATCTTTAATGTTTCTCCTTTCATATTCATACTCAGAAAAGTCTGTCTTGCAGCTGCCTATTCTGAATGCTTTGTCACCCTCTTGCCTTTAGGGATGTTTGTTGATCAGGTGATAGTGTCTCTTTAACTAATGGCCACTTTATAATGACTAGATCTCTACCTTAAGATGAAGAGAAATAGCATGAAGAGGGATATGCCTCAGTGTAATCCCTTTGCTACTCTGAAACTGCTTGTCAGGTTTCTGTAGTGTAAGGCTTTTCTGTCAAACTGAGCTTTTCTATCATCATCATCCTGTAAAAAATTGTCAGGAAGAGAGGTTTTGAAGGAGTAGAACAATATTTTAATTAATTTCTTTATTAACCAGAATGATTTGTTCTCAGTAAGAATTTTCATAGCTGGTGTTAGGTGAGTAAGGAACAAATAGATTGGTGTCACAGAACTCTCACTTGGAAGTAGGAAAGGAACAAAAGCAAGAAGGCAAGAAATCAGTAATGTTTCCTGGCCTTTCCATCCCCATTCTTTTTCTCAGTCTTTTGCTAGCAGATCAAGAACTGTACGGAAAATCTAACTGGAATTAGCTAAGGGTACCTCTGCATCCTTGCTCTCACCTGCCTGTCTGAAGTTGCTGCCAGGGGTCACAGTACCTGGAATCACGTTTTGTCCATTCTGGCAGATTTCAGCAAAGGAGTAACTCTGTGTGTAGTTGTACTGTCCAAAATGATCTGCTGGTACAAACCTGCAGTGAGAGGGAAGTGAGGAAAGGGGAAAGTCAGGCGAGGATGATGGACATTGGATCAGAAGTCTTCTAATAGGTACCACACTGACCTTAATCTTAATGTTTCTGTGCTCCCAACCTCTAAAGTGTCTTCCTTAGCTTCTTCAGGAGGTTGACCTTGTCTTGGGAGATCATGAATGAGATGTATTATTACACTTAACTATTTCTTTACTGTGGGGATGACTGTGCACTGGAACAGATTGTCCAGAAAAGTTGTGGAGTCTCCCTCACTGAAGATATTCCAGAGCTGTCTGGACACGACCCTGTGCCATGTGCTTGGAGATGACCTTGCTTGAGCAGGGAGGTTGGACCAGATGACCCACTGTGGTCCCTCCCAACTTGACCCATTCTGTGATACACAAGAGGAGCTGTGAAAATTAGTAGCATAGAATTTTTAAAATATATTTTTGTGAGTTTAGATTGCTGAGTCCATTTTCATCTGCTGGAAAGAATATTAAATTGTTTAGTCTACTCCAATTACACTGCTGGAAAGCCAGTGATATTTTGAGGTAAGACATCCAGAATTTTTTCTTGCCTGATTACTGCTTAATAGAGCTCAAAGTTGTTTGACAGTAAGTAAAGCTGGTTATGTAATCCAGTCCTTCAGGTAATAAACCAAACAAAATTCAGACTTGAAATACATATCCAGTTAGGATACTATTGCTTTGTGATGAGAAACAAAAACACTCCAGGCATTAATAAAATCTGAAGCAAGGTTCTTACAGACTTGTAGTTAAAACTGAGAATTTTAGACATGTAATAGAAACAGAGTGCAGAGAGGTACAGGCTGGAGTGTTTTTCATTTTTGTTTCCAAAAGTGAGCCCAAAGTGAACTGCAGTTTTGCTGCAATTGTGCATTCATTTTTCCCCATTCTGAGCATAAATAATTCATTATTTCTATTTTGCTTTGTATTGTTATTTATTTTATATTTTATGTTTGTATGTTTTATACACAGTTGTTGAATTTACATATCTGGATAAAATATATTTTGCTCTCAGGTTAGGTTTTTCACTGTTATTTGATTGCTATTAAGCTATTAGAGAACTGCAATGACAATCCTTTATTAAGATTTAAATAATAGTTTCAAGAAGAGTATAATTAAGTTGCATGAATTCAGAAATATGATGATGTTGTCAGGATTCTTCATTACATCACACTAACATTGACTATGCCTGTTAGGGGAGAAAATATTAGTAGTAATATTTACTACATTGCAGGAATTCCTTGAAGTGTTATTCTGGTCCGGACCTTTTTTCTGATGGTTACCTCAGTATTTCTGGCTTGAATTTCTACAATAGAAAGTGAAAATAATTGATTTAAGAGTGGCTTGAATTCCAGAGTGAATATGAAAAGTATTCTTGATTTTTTAAAGCTGAAAGCATTTAAATTGTTAAATAACTACTAAGAGGGCTGAAAAAAAAGGCCTCAGAATTTAGTGAACTTGCAAAGCCAATATCCTGCAATCTAAATATGAAAATTATAAATGATGCTTTTAATTTCATTCATGCCTAGGACAACAATTTCCTGCCATGACATGTATTTTGGGGTCTAATTTAACCTTTTGAAGGAGAGATGAAATGCAGTAAGGGTGACAGTATAAAAATTAGGGAAGATTGTATTTCAACTGTCTACTCTCTTAGCCATTTAGGATGCCCAGAGAGAATGTAGGACCTCTGCCATGGGAGGAGTTTAAGAACAGGCTTCTAGGATGTGGGTTATTCATACCAGATTGTGTTATTTTTACTCTCTATAACTGTATATTCTGTATCTCTCATTGGTATTAGACAGTTCATGAACTAAGATAAAAGATGTTAGGTGAAAAGTTGTTTTGGACCATCTGTTGATAGCCTTCAGGCTCTAATATTTGTGTTATGTTTTGTCTTTGGTCCTTATCAGAAGATGTGACTTCAGTGGACCTGGCTGGATGTCAGGATATGTGCACAGTGGTATGAAATGTACCATTCAGTATTTATACTATCAGAAGCTGTGCTTAGCTAATATTGTAGCTTTGTCATATCTCTGATAGTACTAATTGGTTATGTATGGATTGACTTCATTGCCTGATGTTGGCTTGACCTGCTGCCTCAAGCTTAATATTTTAAGGATGCAATAGATAGTTTTCTCTGTGTCTCTTGGTCATTTAAATGCTTTTAGAGATGACTGAAAAACACATAAACAGTGTTGTGAAAAGTACCTAATGAAAGAGATTGACATGGTAATGTCTGTGCTGGACCAGTCTGAAGGACCATCTGTTCTTGAAGGCTTTCTCCAGCACTGGCTGAAAGCAGATGTCTGAAGAAAATCATTAGCACATAGGAGACAGGTTTGCCCAAGTATTCCTAGTATCTGTCCATCTGCAGCCCAGCTCCTTCCAAGCCCAGAATAATGCTTTTATGCTGATTACCTTCTCAGGTACTCAGCATAAAAGAGGAAGAACTTGTTCTAACCTGTTCTATTATATACTGGAGCCATCTGAACTTTTAGCACCTATAACATCCTTTTTAGCATGTACAACATAAGGTGCTCTCTACCTGAGTATATTTTTTGTGGAAAAGGAGATACTCCTTTTCCTTGCTGGTAGTTTCATTTGTTGTCCTTGGTTTCTTGTATTAAAACAGTTTCTTGTACTTCCAGTACTTTAACAGGAAGATTTTGGTTTTGTTGTTCAGGGATCAGTTTTATTCCTCTGGTCACCCTTGTTCTTCTGTACTGTTTCCTTTCCACTTACAGCATTTTTGAGCCACTGGATCCAGAAGTTCACAATATATGGAAACTTAGTGACATAGTGGTGCCTTTTGTTATGTTTTCTGTTCCTTCCATGATTATTCATTAAACGGTATTTGGGATTTTTGGACTTATACTGATATTGTGTGCTTCCTTGGAGTGAGTATGAATGCAAAATAAATTCAGTCTTTTTGTTTTAGTGTAACCTTTGCATTTGCTCATTCTAAAATTTGGTAATCTCTTGGGTCCATGTAACTCCTGCTTTTGATATACTTTAAGAAGGCTTTTAAAGTTTTATATCTTCTGCATGTTTTTTTATTCACTCTTTTTCTACACCAAATATATTGGACTTTTTTATTTAACCACAATAGATTGTAATTTTTACTTTACTCTGTTGAATAATAGAAATCTGTTACTATACCCAAGAATATTCTTGATATTCATGTATTGCTTTTGTAGCTTGTTGTATTTTGAAGCTTATGATTGAAGTAAGCAGCAGGTGACTGGAGATTGCCAGAACAATTTCTATTTGCTGTTTCTGTATAAATTCATTTTACTGTTTAGCTATTACATGTAAATGGCAGTTACTTAGGCAACCCACCTTTTTATTCATAATAGTAGTAAAACCTTTTTCATAAAAGAGAGAAAACAAAAGAATGACTGGGTACAAGCCATGTGGGAAACAATAAGTAGTGTCACCTGCAAAGATTGATTTCAGTATTAAGTAGTATCTATCATTTAGATGGGAACAGCATCTGGAAAGAAGGGGATCAGTTTCTACATATCCATGATCTCCCCAACCTTACGAAGCTGGATTTTTGAAGGATAAAGGTTATACAAAGAACTCAAAAACTTGGAACTGCTCTCTGTGCTCTAGAAATTTGGGAGGCCAAAAGAAGATGATAAAATAATTTTAAAAAACAACCAAAAACATGATACTCTGTAATTTTTTTGAAACTCAAAAACTTGGAACTGCTCTCTGTGCTCTAAAAATTTGGGAGGCCAAAAGAAGATGATAAAATAATTTTAAAAACCAACTAAAAACATGATACTCTGTAATTTTTACCATTAGTCATAT